GTGATACTTTCAATATATGCATAAGAAGAATGAGTGGACAATTGTTATGATCACTTTCCATCTTCATTTGAATACTTTTTTTTCAAAGATGAATAAAAATTGTATATTGTATGATAATATTAATAACACATCAATAATTACTTCATGATTAAAAGTACTACTATCAGGAATCATTTTTCTTTTAAAAAAATTTTTGCGATTTCGAATGGACTTAATATTAATTGAAAAACTTGAACTCGATATATATATCAATTTTCACGATTTTGAGTGAATTTAATATTAATAAAAACGATTTTCTTTTTAAAAAATTTTTAAGATTTCGAATGAACTTAATACTAGTTGAAAAACTTAAATTCGATATATATATACATATCAATTTTTACGATTTCGAGTGGATTTAATATTAATTAAAAAACTTAATCCTGATATATACATCAATTCTTACGATTTTGGGTCAACTTAATGTTAATTGAAAAACTTGAACTTGACATTAACTTAATATTGACTGAAAAACTTAATATGTATTTATTTTTGCGATTTCGAGTGAATTTAATATTAATTAAAGAACTTAAGCTTGATATATATATATATATATTTTTACGATTTCGAGTGAACTTAATATTTTCATTACAACGATTCTACTACGTATCATTTAATATTTAACAAATAAAGAAGAATAAATTGATAACAATATATCTTTTTTCATAACTATATTTGAGACAATAATTATTAGCCTAGCAAGTTACATTAGCCAAAATTATTATGTTATCCTTAAATGTATACTTATAGAAATATATTTTATACATTACTCTATGATAAGGCAGTGTATTAATTTCAGCAAATAATATTTCAATTTATGAAGAAATTTAATATTTTAACTTATCTCTTACTGTTTCCTGAATCATTTCTTCGATTATTTTTCGGTTTTCCGTATCATTTTTTACGGTTAAAATAAAAGATAACAAAGAAAAGAATGCAGCAGCTTGTTCAATCTGTTTCAATCCGTTTGAAAGAGTCTCTTCTTTGAGCTATAAGAGAAGAAGAATTGTGCTAGACCAAAATAATCATCAAAATAATCGAGTATACTCATTCATTTAAAGGATTCTTGAAAAAAAATTGATTATTCCATTTCCGTTCCGATTAAATTCAGCTTCTTTTGAAGCATGACACAATTACGACATCATCAGGAAAGGATGATTGAGGAAGAAGGATAAATTGCATTCCAGGACAAAGAGTTTCCTGAGCTCGTTAGTCAGATCTCTGCTAGCTCGATAACTTCTTCCCTATTTGAGGATCCTAATAAATAACATCTTTGTCCTTTTCCGTTTCTTTTCCCTCGTTATTGACACTCTTGATGCATACTATCCAGCTTATTATTCAATAGCCATGTTGAAGTTGTTTAAAATTAGAGGGGTAACATTTATCCACCAAATCGTATAGGGACGTTTGCTTCAAATTGGGACAGCTGGTCCCAAACAATAACTGTCTCCTAAATTTGGTTATAATTTAATCGTTGACCGGATAAAATTCAAATCCGGAATTATTTTTTATTAATTTAGTTTGAAGAAGTGATGCATTGATAGTTCTATAATCTTCCCAAGAGTTACAGGGGAGGGTTTTAAATTGGATTCCTTTCTTCTCCTACCGCTTCTCCTACCATCTTCAAGCATTCTAATTGCCTTGTAACTCAGCCTTTACAAATAAATGGATAGGCAGGCATTCATTAAACATTGATTGCAATGAGCAAGCAATCACTTAACCACTTAACAAGCATTCAGAACAACCACTCCCACGAAACGACACCCATTGTGTCAATGACAGGTCAAAGGTCATCATTATCTTTTAATGATGAGTGGCTATTCAAAATAACATCGAATCACAGCTTCTGGGCATTGTTGTAGAGGGAAGGGACTGAAAAATTTGTAATGCCTCATTGGAAACTTGAAAGTCCATCTGAATCTGTCTGGGATATGCTGCTATAGTGTAAAATATACCGAAATAAATTGATGTAAATATTGACTAAAGAGTTAAGAGAGGAAGAAAGCTAATTTTTATGGATATTTTAAGAATGAATCTTTTTGCTTTCTTTATCTTTCTTCATCGATGTAGAAATTTAAATGAATATCTATGGATTAATGAAATTGAATCAAACGATATCAATTTTTAAAACTTCCATTCCTTTTCAAAATTAATATTAATCATTTCAATTGACTTTATTTCTTGAAATTTTTCATTCAATTAAAAACAATATAATCAAGTTAATCAATTTCATGAAATTAACATTCACAATGATCATATTTGAAAATGAAATAATAAATGTTTTGTCAAACAATTTTCAGCTTTAAATTATATTAAAAACAATCAACCAATATGAAAATCTTTATTCTCTTTATACTCAATTCAAACATACTTTTTTAAAAATGCTTTTCGATGATTGCTATGCTATTATTTGATCTCTTATAATAAAAATAATCATCGATCATTATTGTCGTATGTCACATATGCGCATATCTTCGACAATGAGAAATATGTCAAAATTGGCAAGTGATTTAAAGATGTCATTGTAAAGAATTTAGCATTTCATTGGGAGTAAAGATGCGAAAATTGTCTACTAATATAATATATTTGATTAAAAAATGAGGTATACATGATTCACGTATACATACGTAAATTACGTGTAGTGTAAGATATAAGAAAGTAAGCTTTGATACGTATTATAATGAATAGTTAGTACTTTGATATATAGTAATAAATATGTGGTACTTTGATATGTGAAAGAATATGAAGTATATGACATACGGTTACAATAAAATATTCATGACAATCATCCCTCTTTAATTACATTGAAGTTAAAATTATGGGATGAATTATGATCAGTTTTCATTTCATATATTACTATAATTCCTTTGGAAAGTTGAAAAAAAAAATCGGAAAAAAAATAGCCAAAATTTTTGTTTTATTAGAAGATAAACAATGGATGATGTAATTTCTTTCCATACAATTTAAAAGGTAATCATCTTAATATGTTAGAAATTACAGGTAAGTAAGTAATTTAATTGAATGTTAGAATACGCTTACAACATCTATGTTAAACAAAATTTTTTTTAACAAATTTTGTCACCTTAAATTTGTTATTATTTATCAATAGATTGTCAAATTTTAATCTTTAATTCGATCAATTTCGATAGTTTTTATATGAATATTTTAATATTATAATTTACGATAAATACCAAAATTAGCCAATTATTATCAAACATGAAAGTAAACAATTTATTTATTTCCATTATTATCATTGTATCAGTTATTGATTAAATGGTACAATGATAAGTGGGATGTTTTTAGTTTTTTTTTTTTCTCACTTACTGTTATACATGGTATTATAGCCTAATAAGTGTAGTTAAATGTTATCAAAATTTAATCAAAGTTTAGGTTTAATTTTGTATTTCATGATAAATTCAAATGAATTTATATATTTAGTGAATAAATTAAATTATTAGCGTAAGTTTTTATGTAAATTATTTAAAATTAATTGAAGTTTACAAAATGATAATTGTAGATCTGTCTAAATCATTTAGTCATTTTAGTCACATATTTATTTGTCAACCAAATACAAAAGACAAAATGAATGTATTAAAATGAAAGGGAAATAACAACTTCATTTGCATTCACTGTTCAGGTGTTTAGTGGTCGATTGAAATTTTTCTCATAGTATTTTCATCTGCTAATAACAGGTAAAATTGCATGTTGCATCAAATTTTCACTTGAGGTTAGGTTATATCTGTAAGAAAAAAACCGTGGATGAAAAGAAGGATAATACTAAAAAGGGAAAGTGAACGGGAAGCGCGAAGTTTAGTTATGTTATACGGTTGAGAAGAGGTTAACCGGAAAATCGAATTGTTTTTCTTGTCAGAAATAATTCCGTTTGATTTCAAAATTTTTCAAATTTTTTTAATGTATACTTTTTTCAAAAAATTTTTTCAAATTTTCAAATTTTTCAAATTTTCTATGTTTTTTTCAAATTTTATATATATTGCACCAAAATTTCTTCATTATTTCATGAAAACTAAAAAAATCATTAAGAACTTAAAGTAATAGAATTTATATTTGAATTGAAAAAATTTTTAAAAATTTAAAATTCACACTCCTTTACTCTTTCAAATGTTGAAAAATCAACTTTATTAATTGATTCGAGAAATGTTTCAAGTACACAGAGTGTACTATATCGCCAAACAACAATGAATGAAATATCTAGGGATGAGGAAGAAATATGGATTGCCATTGAATACTGGACAAAACAGCTAAAACAAGTTCATTTCGTTAAATGATATTTGCGAAAAAAAAAAATTTGCAAAAGAAAAAGGAAAAAGTTCTTTTTTTTTTTCTGACACTTTTCTTGAGCTGAACATAAATTTTTGTTATTTCTTCTACTTTTATATTTTTTATTTCCGAAATAGTTGAAACTAAATTAGTAGAATTAAAATAAAATTTATTATTTGAATTAATCTACATTAAAATTAATAATTAAAAAATAACCTAGATATATTCTGTACAGAGCATGGAGAATAATTTTGCTTCTCTACAATGCCTAATTATTTGTTACTCCAAATTAGGCCACATATTTTTGAGCCAAGAATGAAATATATGCAATTATACAGAAAAGTGTTGACAATGACAATAATTTCCGTTTTTTTTCTTTTTTTTTTTTTTAAAAGAAAGTTTTTTCCAAGCATATGATTTTGAAAAAAAAAGAAAAATATGGCATTCATCAAAAATGAAACATATTTAATCTCAAAGAAAAAAAAAATGGTAATTTAAAGGTTTGCTAAGGATGAATTCATAAAATATGCAAAACTCAAGTATGAATAGCCTACGTGCACATTAATTTTTTATAAGTAAACATTTATTACACTTATGCCTTTTTTTCGTCATTAACTTCCTTCTTGAATGATACTAACAGTTATTTTTAATGAAAAATTTAATTAATTAAAACATAAACTTTTTTCTTATTTTCTATTATTGTCAATGATTTTGAAATTATTTGAATTTTTTTTTTTTTCTAACGGAAAATATTTCATGAAAGCATTGTGAAATGAAAAACGAGATCGAAATTTATGAAGTTAGGCTAAAGGATATGAAATTAAAATAGATATCATTCGAATAGAGTGCTTTCAATTTCATCATTTTTTAATGTTTACCATCGAGTAACTAACAAGGTTATTCTTCAAAGTATATTAAATTACAATCAATGATGCAAAATTTTGTTCTGGAGAAAAAGAGTGAAAGGAAAAAAAAAATATTGTATTTTCAGGTTGAGAGATTACTGATTCCTGTTACTCTCAATATATTGCTAACGTTAATTGTTTGGATTGGTGTATATCATACAAAAACGGATTCGAATTCTGTCTTCTACTATATGCTTGATCCGGGACATAATCGTACAACCGGAAATGAAATTGTCGATGGAATGGTTCGAATTTCAAATATCTATAATTAATTAAAAAATTGGATAAAAATTTGTTGGAGCATTTAACTTTTTTTTTTTTCATTTTCTATCAATCTGCCAATTTTTGCAAAATAACACAAAATATCAATTAGTACGATAGCGAATTCTTTTTTTTTTCCTACTATCATCGTATTAAATGATCGGATCAATTCAAATCATCTCAACCTGAATTATGAATAATAAATTGAATGGAGTGGAAAATTAAATTAAACAACTAATGATTTGCTCAGTATTTATTGAAAAATATTTTGTGACAAACAAGTATACATGCAAAAATGATTTAATGTTAAAATAATTACAACTAAAATTATGATCATGCAGATTCTCTTTATCACTTCACTTAGCATCTTTTCTGATATTAATTCTACTGATTAACCAGATTATGCAAGAATGATTGGGAAAATTAGGATTGCTTTTGAAACAACTTTTTGTTGATATTAGGTATGATAAGTTTTTGCTTAATTTAGCAATCTTTGGATTTTTCAGCATTATATCCTTTACATTTAAATTTATAGCATGAAATTTTAATTAATTAATTAAAGGTAGTTTTTCATTTTATCATACAGATGATATCTCATAAAATTCACCTCATAAATCTTCACAGGTGAATGGAATTGGATGTGTGTTAATGTTAGCTGTGATAAGTTTTGCATTACTTGCTATGGCATTATATGATTACAAATGCTTGGTTCAAATGTGGTTATATATGTCCTGTGTACTTATCATTTTCGGTGTTTTCGCTTCATTTTTAGTGTATGCTTTTAATTTGCTTATTCTAATTAAATCAGAAGCTAAGAATCGAACGTTATTCTGCTTTTTGTACTTTCCCATCTTGCTTATTTTTCTTTAATTTAATTTTAGACAATAAAAAGTTACTCAGAAATCGTTTACACAATCTTTGTTGCAAATTTTGAGCAAAATGATAAAATAGATTATTACTAACTGATAAGATTGAACCAATAAACAGTTAGTAATTAAGAAAGCCAAATTGCAAAGCATACGGCGAATATTAGCTATATTCGTAATGATTTAATTATTCAATCCAGGATGATCATATAGTTTATAACAATTTAAACTCAAGTCAAATAAGCTGAAAAAAAAATCAATACTTATTAATTATATTAAAATTATATGTAAAGTGAAGTAATGTTATAAAGGCATAACAAACTGAGCGCCATTAAACTACGAGCATTTTTTGTTATTATTTTCAAAAAAAAAAAAAATTTTTATAAAATATTTTGTAAGCATAAATTTTTATACTTCAATTCAAATGAAAGCAAACAATTTCACAATTTGGAAGTTAATGAATGATAGATGAAAAAATTCTCTGAATTCTAATATATTGTTAAATATATTTCATCATTATCATCATACTGATTAGGCTATCTTTTGAAGATGAATAGCAAAATGATAAAATAGATTAAATTGAAATATTATTAACTGATAAGATTGGTAATAATCAATAGGTAGTAATTTGAAATAAATTATGATAATAGAATATTTCAGAGATTTATTTAAAGCATTTGGCTTACAAACTGCTCCTCCAATATTCACAGCATTAATTGTTATAACATATGGTACCGTTGGTATTTTGGTATTTTTTACCAAAAAAACTCCTCTTTATATGCATCAATTTTATGTCATTTGCAATTGTTCATTGGTTTCTGTATTTTATCTTCGAATGTTTCCTACACATACCGCATGGTTTGTATTGGTATGTATTATTATTTGGGGTAAGTTGATGAGTTCATTTTTCTCTAATTAAATTGCTTACTCTAAATAACAATGATTTTTTGTGGTATCAAATAGTACATATCAGATAGTTATAAAATCATATGAACATGTTTAAATCTGGATTCTATCTTGATCATTGTTTGATGTTAATATGACTAAAAAAAAAAAAAAATTAGAAAGACTTGAAAAAATTGAAATATTATAAAAAAAGTTATATCGTTTAGAAAAGATTAGATATTCTCTCAGTATTGATATCAATCATAATTGTTTCATAAAGAGAATGAATTGATTCTTCCTGAATACAAGAAAGTATTCAGATACATTCGCGGTACTCGCACCCGTTGGTCCATTACGACGTATTAATGAAAAAGCTCATGAATATAGCGATCAAGTAAGCCATCAAGTTACTTATCAATTATTTAGCGCAAGTAAGCAATGGATGCATAAGAAGCTTATTTGTAAAGCTTACATTTGACAGTAATTTTGTTATACGGCTTATTCTTTTACAGGTATTACGATTTTTAATGTTTACAGCTGAAGATAAAAATGATGAACCATATGAGGAAATCGTAAGTTATTTTAAATCAGTGAGCTTTATTTTATGATTTGATTTGACAATCTTATTTAACAGTTGGTTGCATCCGTTTTCCGATTGGAACAAACATTAATTACTTAAGATGAGATTAAGGCTAATTAATCATTCCTTGAAGGGAAAAAAGTTTTTAAATCAATTTTGAAGAGATTCATCACTTTTTTGAATAAGTCTTAGTAATTATCATACTAAATAAAATCGTCATATGAATATTTATGCAATAAATGATTCAAATCTGAAAAAAAACATTTCATAAGAACTAAAAAGAAGAACAGCTCCCTTAATGCTAATCTTTCAGACAGTAAACAAAAGCTTCATCAAGCGGAAACAACAAAAAATGAGAGAAAGACATGAAAGAAGATCCAAAACAAAGTTGGATTCGGTATTTTTTCTTTTTTCATTTTTTAGTATATAACGATCCAATATATCATCCTGAAAATTTAGCTCTTAAATGATTTTAATCTGGGCTATGTTTAAATAATAGGAAGCAGAGAATGAACATCTTCGACAACGTAAAATGTTATGTTCAAAAAGTGATACACAAGTTGAAATCTGCTCAAAGTTTAGAGCAGCATCTGATGAACAAAGAAACGATGGAACAAAATTTACAGTCTATGATGCTTTGAATGATGGATGTAAGTTCTTATCAACTACAATTTTTAATCGAATTTTTCTCTTTGCATTGACTGGATATGATGCGTGAAAATATATGGAATTAATTTTTATATTGGAAATATATGGAATTAATTTTTGAATCAAAATAACAAATCAATTTGAAAATCTCATTTTGATTACGAATTATTCAAACATTCATTCATTCTTTTTGCTGCTTACCACTGTGATTATCTAGATCAATGCTAAATAATTTCTCGTTCATTTCATTAATTTTCTTTTTTTAAATTAATACCTTCACATTGCTTCCAACTCATCACAAAATGTGGCATTATGGAAAATTTAAACTGTAAAATAATTATTTTCATTGGAAAAAGATTGAATAAATTGTTTGTGTAGCATTAATTTATTGAGCTACCAATCAAGCAATCAAATATCCTGCAGCTATTAGAATTATTTTTCCTTACAAGTGCTAGCTTGTACTACATAGGGTTATATTTAAATTTCTTTTCAAATATGCAAATTTCAGCATCAGTTCGTCTTGGCATGGGTGATTTTGTTTTCTACAGTTTGATGGTAGGTAAAGCTGCTGCAACACATAATGCAATGTGCGTTATTGGTTCAATGGTTGGTATACTAGTCGGATTGATAGTTACCCTAACGATATTGTCTAATGATGATGAAACCACTCCGGCATTACCCGTTTCGATTACCATCGCTTTACTGTTACATTTCGGGATTTATTTATTCGTCGAACCATTCTATAGTCAAATTGTGATCACCCAAAAAATGTTCATTCTACTCTAACATGTTCATTCTGAAGGGATGATTTGATCCCTATAGTTTTATGGCGCAAAAGTGTATTCTGCTTGAAATATTTGTTTAGTAAATTTGAATTAAAGAAAATTTAAAATCTTCAATTTTTAGACAATTTTTAGTAAAATATTGATACGACAATATTATTAATTTATTATTTCATTTATATTAAGACGTAATCTATGATTCATTTGTCGCTTAAACTTGGTATTATTTATACATAAGAGTTAGGTTTAGGTTTGAGCTTTTTTTTCTAATCATTTGATAAAAAAAGTGATTGCGTGAGTTGTATGAAATTGCAAATACACTCACTCATTTATATTTATTTTTGATTGAAACATTGTCAGAGAATAATATTCTTTTGTTAGCAAAAAAAAGGACACTCTATTTTATTGCTTATTCCACACCATTATGAACAATAAGGTGTAGTAATAAGGTAAGATTGTTCTTGCATTTATCTTCCATCATTTTTTTGTTTGCTGTAAACTAGTATTAGTAACATTTCATGAGTCTCAATTTTATCATGTCTATGCAGGTACTGTTCTTGTAGAAGCTTCTAATTAGTGCATATGGATTTGAGTTTCCGAAGTTTTTAGAGGAAATGAGCAAGAGATTTTGAAATCTTAAACTAAATTTTACACCAACTGATAGATGTGGAAGGCAAAAAAAAGTTTCGTCGGAAAAGATAATAACTCAGTAATTAGATATCTCAAAATT